CGTGGAGCACGCGGCAGGGTGGAAAAAGGGCCGCGGACTAGGTGTCGGGGCGGAAAAATGGCCGTGGACCACGTGTCGGGGCGGAAAAATGGCCGCGGACCACGTGTCAGGGGCGGAAAATTGCCGCGGATCCGGTTCGTAAGTCGAGGCGAGTTCGCAATTCGAGGTAAATTTTTGGGGCCTGAGCTGGTTGTATCTCGAAAAATTCGTAAGTAGGGGCATTCGTAACTAGAGGTACCACTTTACTAGAATATATGTAGAACAGATAAATCACCCCTCCTCCCATTCAGTTTTCTATCCTATTAATAAATGAAATTAAATGTAAAATTCTGGTAGGGAATTAAATAGGATTCTGTAGTTGAGACTTCACTATTTTTATAAAGGTGTCTGTTTTATTAGATGTTAAACAATCTAATAATCTAAGTGCAGTGGGTCGAATATAGATACATTAACACTTAAATACAAAATCATAAAAAGTAAGAAGTGATGATTAAAACAGCACAAAACAGAATCAACATAATAAAACTGAGGCAATTCATAAAACGGGTGTAACAGAGCAAAGTTCGGAAAACTCTCAGTTGTAAAGAAAAAAAACCATGTTCTTCTTGTGCTGAAACAACCATGATATTGACTACAAGTCAGCCTTTCTAAAAAGAGCACTCCATAAATGAAGTTTTGAGCTACTGGAATAGCTGAAATTTTATTACCTGACATAGGGTAATGATAGCAACTTTAGGTTTAACAAAATTTCATGGGAAGATGTAGAGGGTTAATGATAAGGATCATAAGTTATGCTTTCTTGGATTTCTGCTGTGAACAGTTTCATGGGACTAATGCTCTATGTCTTGGAAGTGTGAGGTATGTGGAATACTACTTTATGGAACAAAGTCTGAAAGGGCCAGCCAAACTGGTTTGACTGCACTGTAAGCTGTACTACTAGTTATGCAGACATGAACTAAATTATTATTTTAAACAGTGTCACTAGTATCACCTTTTGCATAAGCTTTAAGTGCAAGACAAGTATGTTTGCAAGTAGCATAGTTCAAAACTGCATGACATACAGTATATAGGTTGTTGTAAGATTTAGCCTTCTAAAATAAATTAGGTCTGTAAGCTAAAAAAAAAGTACATTTTCAACAGTACTGAAAATTAGATGTCTTCTTCAAACTGAAACTACATAGTAATGCTGCAGCTACTGAATAAGTTATAATGGTTTGATTACTTTAGAAAATATACTTGTACAGACATAGAGAAGCTCAAAAAAAGGGCATCAATTTTTATCTGGCACTATGTGGTAATTCAAAATAGGAAGACAGGGTGACAGGTTATAACTATAGATGATAAAGGATTATAAAGGTATTTATAAAAAATCTCCCAGAAAGAGAAGAAATTCCTAGCATACTTGAGAATTAAGGCAGATGACTGGTAGCTATTTGCTTAGAGGAAGATAACTACTTATTAGGCTGGTATCTGAAGAAGTTCTCAAACTTTCTTACAGGGTCAAGGATACCAATGATACTGGGAGATATGGTGCTTGAAATCTGTAACGCACACTCAAATATTGGGCATAGCCTATCTAGATACAGCTGATGGCTAGGTTTAATTGACTGACTTAGAGGATGGGCTCCATGGAGAGCCTTCTACTGACAACAAAAGTAATTAAGTTAAACTCTTTTATTCCAGGCTTCTCTTCCACCACCAATATATTTGTATTTAAAAGGAGCTGTTTATTAACTTTAATCAGAAACATGATCTCCAGAAAGCTCTTTAAATTTTCCTGTTCTTCCATGTACAGTTGACCAAAAAAAAAAACAAACAAACTAGAAAGAAAGCTAAATGTGGTTGAGGGCTAACTGATGGTGAAAATAGGTACATCATTTGGTATTTTGAGAGTTTTTAAATATTTAAAATACTCTAACCAAGCTTGCTTAAATGTTCTGCTTCATTCTGTTGTCCTCTATTGTTTCTTAGTGGATTTTCCCCCTTAATTAATTGTAAATACTACACAGCCTATAAATTAGTTGTTGGAAACTAGTCATGCATAATGACCAACAACACTTGTGAAAATCTCCTGAAAGATTGAATGAATGAAAGGATGAAAAGATGGGCAAGCTGGGCTATGAAAGTCTTGTTCTGGTGTCTGGAATGTATAGGCAACTGAATGGGACAAAACAAGAAAGAGTTAACTGTTTGTTAACTCGGGTTGGAATCAAGGTTGTTTCTCAGTGGTGTGTCACTGCCCCTGAGAGAGCAGAGAATCTAGTGCTGATTAGGCAGGTGGAAACAGTGGCCAAGGTGGCTTCTGCCCAGCTTTAATTGGTGTGCCAGTTGCATTCCTACCTAGAACACAAGGATCACACAACAGTGGCTCATGCCCTCATCTCAGCTGGAATACTGCAATACATTCTACATGGGGCTGTCTTTGAAGAGCACTTGGAAACTGCAGTTAGTGTAAAATGCAGCAGCCCAGTTACTGGCAGGTGTTACCTGCTAAGAGCACATTACACCCTGTATTTTAAGCTCTTATTATCTGTAGGTTTCTAGATGCAATTCAAAGTGCTTGAATAAGTCCGTCCATTACTTCCTTCCCAGGTGAAGGTTTTGGCCCTATCTCATTTTGTGAAGTAAGAGAAATGGTAGCTAAGAAGTACATTTTCTCAGCTGCTGCTCTGGCATTGTGGAATTCTCTCTTCTTAGAATTAAGGCTTGCTCCATCCCTTCTAAAGTTCCAGATGCTAACTGAAGATATACCTTTTCTGAAGAGTTTTGTATTGAGTTACTATCATCATTAATTGATTTTACTTTGAATTACTTATATTAATTTATTTGTTGACACTGGGTTTTTTTGTTATGTTCTTTGTTTTATTTTTCATTATCAATGTTATAATTTATCTTTGTGTTATTACTTTGATTAATTATTGGTTGCTTTTGTGCTATATTAACTACCATGAATGTTTTCCTCAATTGTTTAGTAAACTGTTGTGAATTGGTATAGAAGTAGAATAAATAAATACTGGGCAATAGCTTTCTCCATGAGATGGAAAGAAAATAACCATTTCAACTCATTTTTATAATCATAAATAAAAATAATTTAACTGATTTTGTTGTTTTTACCACTGTACTTCTGTCTGGCTTCCCCACTTAACAGTTCTCCCTACCCCCTCAACCTGATGATTAAGTACCCTCATGAATGATAAAATGAACCCTAGTCCATGAAAGCTTATGTTATAAGGAATTTGTTAGACCTTAAAGTGACCTAGAAATCTTTATTTTTTAAACCAGAATACTCTTTACATATACATTTAAGTTTAACTGAAATTTAATGAAATTTAATTCTTAATTCACCACCTTCTTTTCTCTCTCTCTTTCTTTCTCTCTCTGTTTCCTCCCTCCATCACAAAAAAAGGAATTCAATATACATGCCAGAGGAGTCAGGGTGAGCATCTTTCAACTGCATCCATAAAATGTACATTCATAGGCAATTATATAATAACAGTAATAATTATACTTGGAATAGTAAGGAACAATGTTCTTATAAAACCCCTTGCTGCAGCTTTTTTTCTTTATTTTCATTGTCTCTTTTCCTATTATTTTGCTGCTGCTGTTGTTCTTTCTGGTTTGCAATCTTATGAATGTATTTACAAATAAAGATGAGTTCAGTGGGGTTTGCTTCTGGGTATATATGGATAGGATTATAGACTTAAGTATCTGGGAAATTTAACTACATCAACCATCTTAATCTGGTTCAGTAAATCTCTTAAGTAGATTTTTACTCCATTTCTTAATGGTTGACCACACAGGAATACGGACATCTATCTTCAAGCTTCCTTCAACTTAGTTGAACACTACCTTGGAAAGGAAAATTAAATTATTTTCAAAATTCATATGTAAACATTTATAACCCAGGTTATCTAATCAAAACTCCCTATTCAGGGCAGGATCCCATCCGTATGACAACCCTGTTTTCAAGCCTAAATGCATTCACATCTCTCAGTCATTTATCATAGGACATAGTTTCCAAATTTCCCACTAACTAGTTCTCATTTTTACATATTCTAGTAGTCAGTGTCCCTTTTAAATGTTGCTAGTACTGCTCCAAATGTATCAAAATAGAGCTGAATACAGGTAATCCTCGACATGACCATAATGAGGACCGGAAAAATCATTAAGCGGTGTAGTTGTTAAGTGAGACATGTGACCATGACTTGCGACCTTCCCTTCCGGCTTCCCCATTGACTTTGCTTGTTGAAAGCCAGCTGAGAAGGTCGCAAATGGGGATCACATGACCTCAGGACACTGCAACCGTCATAAATGCACGACGGTTGCCAAGCGTCCGAATCACGACCACATGACCGCGGGGACGTTACAATGGTCATAAGCCACTTTTTTCAATGCCATTGTAACTTCAAATGGTCACTAAACAAATGGTCATAAGTCAAGGGCTATCTGTAGTTCTTTCTTGTGATCTGTGATTTTTTTTTTTAATACAACCTTTGCTTTTGTTCATTTTTTATTAGCAACTGCATTACTTTTATTTTATTTCTTTGTAGAACAATTTTCCCAGTGTGGTTTACAACATGCTAAGAGCATTGTTTAATATAATATAATTAATCACTGTTTTATTAAAAAATATATAAACAGAACTTAAACAGCAGGCATTAGTTTAAAAAGCTGTAGCAGCATACAGATTTGGAATATTTGCATATTAATTTATTAAAAAGTTATGGGAGAATGAAAGCATCTATGCCTATGTCAGAAAGATAGCAAAGTAAACCCTTGGTGTGCCTTATTATGGAGCTGGTGTGGAGACACTACCATTTGAAAAGGCCTACATCCTCACAGCTTGAGAGGCACACAAAACAGACTCACTAAGGATTTCGATATGGTACTTGGAGGAATCTATGAAAGAGGCTTTCCATCAGATATCAGGGAGATTCTTTCTTCATGTTCAGCCAGTGAATATGACTCCTAAATCCTCCTCATACTTAATGCTTTAAACCTATACTTGTGTCTATGATTTTTTACAAAAATTCTGAAACCTAAGTGCATGGTTTCACATTAATCTGTCTAATTTTATCTTGTTTGGTTTTAGTCCATTATTCTAGCCTTTCCAGTTGGTTTTAAATCTTGTTTGTTATGAAATTTGTTAAAACTCTTGTCTTTATATCACCTGTATATTTGATAAATATACTCTCTATACCCTCATCTAGGTCATTTATCAAATGATCACTGAATCATGGCTATTAAATATTAAAAACACTATTCATCAAATATATGGTGCAAGACATTGGTAAGAAGCAGCATCCATGTCACATAGTAGGGTAAGATCTATTTTTAATAGACTAACTGGGAACAGGGTCTGTGTTAATCGTAAATGTCCATCAAATTGGAGAGTACTCATCCATTGTGATTTGTGTCATTTGAGTAATGATCTTATTACACAACTGTCACAAATTACAACATTTGAGTCAATTTATATCATTTGTGTAATCATATCATTAATTATATCATTTGAGTCAGTTAATGACATTTCCATAATGAGGTCATAACTGTACATAAATGATGCAACTTACATCATTTAGTGAGTTAACGTTCTTTGTATAATGTTATTTCACAAGTGATGCTAATTGATGTGGAAAATTGATCTGTTCCACGTCAGGTCTGTTGTATCAAGATCTGGTGAATTGAGATTTCGTTGTAATAATATTTTACAACCTTTGCAATCACAAAAGATCATTTTAAATCTATGTTTAGTGAAAAATATGAAGTAGACACTGAACTTTTTAAAATGTTGATTTATCTGTAAATATTTAAAACCATGACCACTCAGTTGCAGTTACTTTAGATTCCTTTTTAAAAAATAAATAAAAGAAGGCACTGAGAATTTGAAGTTCCCCAATTTTTTTTGGTCTGAAATACTTGAAGCATAAATAAATAGGGGTTTCATGGTGATAGTTATTGGAAGAAAAAAGAACTCTGATTTTAGAGTTGTCTTACTATTGTATCTGCTTCAGCTAACCAATATTTATTTTTTCACTTACTTTATTATAAAATAATTTGAATAAAGCAATTAGATCTTTGCTAGTAGTTCTGATTCTTAATAGTGATTACTATTATTCATGCAGTTTGTTCTATATCACTTTGAATTAGTATGTATTTTATTTTTACATATGTATACTCTTTTAATATTCTTTGCCATGAGTGTTCAAAAAAGTGATGAATAAATCTGATATGTAATATACGTATGCTGTGCTCTGCCAGCAGCTCATGAAATCTGCTTTGCATATTCTATAAATATTTAAAGCAATTGTATATTAGGATATATTGGCTGTTGAAAGGCTTCTTATAAGCTCTTTTAATGAATTGAGCAAATTTTAAAAATTGGTTGTTGGAGTTCTGGAAACATGTAAACAAATGCTTATGAAACTTTTAAAGCATGAATTCCAGTTTGCACTTCAGTTTCAGTTTATTTTTCAAAGTAAGATCAAATCATCTGTTGTAAAAGAACAGATGTTTTTATAAATCCAAACTATACTTGGCTCTCATTATTCACAGTAGTTCCCTTCCAGTAGACAACTTAACCAAATAATGAGACTGTGAATCTATGGGAATTGGGTTGTTAGATATGGAGCCTCTGTTTGTCTTTTTCCTATCATGAGTACTTCCCCCATTTTCTTCCTTTTCGTCTCCTTCTCACTTAGTCATGGTAGATCTTGCTGGGTCAATCCAGTCATGAATCTCACTGGTTTCTCTACTCTGCACAACTCTTTCCTGAGGCACGTGTAGCATCTAAGTGGCATGATCCAAAGGCCTCTGCACTGATATCATGAGAAAACTGCATAGAGCCAAGAAGCTAGTGTAAATCATATAATGACTACCTCTGTCACCAACTGAGCAAGGTGCTTTGAAGAAAAAAGCAAACTGCCATGAGGAGGCCATGTGGAGCCTTGCAATGAGGCTGACCTAGTAAGGCCTGCTGTGACCAAGCAAGAAGGAGGATCAAATATGTGCAGTCAAGCTAATCCCAGCCTTAAAAGATATACAGTACTTAATACATGTGCAAAAGTTCATCCACTATTTTGTGTATGTATAAAAACAAAAAAGTCAAAACTCTGGCTATGCAAAAACTTTTATACATATAAAAAGATTTATTCTCTAAATTGTGGATACATGAAAACATTGATAACGAGTGAGAATAACAAGAGCCACATGTACTGCATAATCAGAGTAGATGGTTTTCACTGATGGCCCTTTTGTAAATAGTATTAACAGAATTCAGTCCTACAGTGTGAGAAACAGACAAGAATCTTAAGAGTTTGAAGTAATACTCTGGAAATGTAAAATAGGATGATTCTTTTTGAGATAACTAGTAGCTTTGTACTTTCATAAAATGTATAGTTCTGGAATCTCTGCAGAACAGATCAAACAGGTATCACCAAAATAATGGGTAGTGGAGCCACTTTTGATTGGTAGCAAAACAAGGCTCATATTTTCATCCAGAGTAGTAAAACTCAACTGGTATTTTGGTGATTATATTGCAGCACCGAAGCACACCCAAACCTTTCTCTTTGATTTGCAAAAATAAGCTGGAGCTGGCCACATGGGTGCTCAACTGGCAAAACACTTAGGGGTTTTGACACTCCTATTTTCTCCAATTCTGTCTTTGTATTTTGATCTATAGAGCAGTGGTTAGTGTCATAACTCCATAACCCCTAAAATAGCTTGGCAATGGGAAAAGAAAGAGGGTATCCTTAGTTTTACACAAAAGCACAGCACAAAGTCATGAATTAATAGAAGAGCCAAAGTCTGGGCATTTATTTTAGCCATTTATATTGCACTCTTTAGCCAAAAGGCTCTCAGTTTTTATTCTCAGGTTTATAATGTACTGTAAAAAAAATTACATAGAAGGAAAAGGAAAAAATGCAGGGAAGAGGAAAATGGACATATTAAGGCAACTCTTTCTAATATTCCCATTTTCTTACAGTGACCAGCTGAAATCCTTAGAATCTTGCATGTTTCTTGTCAGTCCTTCCAATTGTCAGTTGCCTGTTTAGAACTTTCCAAGAAAAACTGGTAGGATCAAGATGATATCATTATCACCACAAGGAAAGAATGGTGCTGCTGTTCTTTGCAAGTTAGTTGAAATGGGCAGTATCTATGATATGGGAAGAATTAAGCTGATAAAAGCAACAATGAGGTGAAAATCAAGTTTTTTATCTTGATTTTTTTCAACAAATTATGAATGCCTATGGCTGTCAACAAATAGCATCGTGATTTACTTTCTGTACGTTGGAAAGCTATTCCTTTTCTTCAGTAATTACCAGTCTTGCTACTAGGGCGCTCTGAATGTCAAATTCTAATTGCATCTAATTCTATACTGGACTCTGATCCTTTTCTTTAAATGCATGATCTTGCAGACTGTGTTAGCATATGTCTAAAGAGCCAAACAAAAGTTTGGGGATTTCTCAGTTGTTCCACTTGTTGGTAAGCAAAAACACATGGAATATATTATTACAGATTTTGGGTTGTGTGCACATTAGCAAAGTCTGTTTAGAAGTTACATTAATTATATAATTTATATTATAAATAATATAAATACTTTTGATAGAAACTTAGGGTTGGAAGGGATCTTGGAGGTCTTCTTGTCTAACCCCATTCCCAGTGTAGAAATCCTTATACCATTCTGGACAAATAGCTGTCCAGTCTTGAAAACTTCCAGAGATAGAACACCCGCAACCTAAGGAGGCAATAGCTCTCACAGTCAGGAAATTCCTCCTTAGTTCAAGTTTGGATCTCTCACTGTAGAGCTTCCACCCATTGGTTTATTTATTTATTTATTTAGCAGACTTATCCCCGCCCATCTCCCCCCAATGGGGGACTCTGGGCAATTTACAACAAATTAAAACAAATAAATACATAATTAAAATTTATAAAAAAGAAAAACACATTCTTGTGTTACTCTCAAATGTTAGGGAGAATGAATCCACAGCCTCTTCCCTGTGACATTCCTTTATGTATCAGAAGACTGCTATCATGTCTCCCCTTAGCCTTCTCTTGTTCAAGCTAAACATACCAGGTTCCTTTAACCACTCTTTGTAGGATTTAGCCTCCATACCCCTTACCATCTCTGCTGCTCTTCTCTCCAGTTCCTCAGCATCACACTATAACTGATCTTTCTGTTTTAATTTTAGTTCTAATAAAAGTCTTGTGCAGCTCATTTGCCAGAGGGATTTGCTAAGATATATTCCATTCCAATTGTAGGCAGTGGTAAAATACAATTTTCTTACAGCGGAGAAAGGTTAAACAAAGAAATAAGTAGAGTTAATGACCATCACCACATCTTGTGGTAACCAATTCCACAATTAGTTATGAATTATGAAAAAATTGGCATTCTGTAGCTTATTCTGAATCTTCTTCCAATTATTTTTGTTTGATGACCTATAGCCCTTATGTACTGAAGGGGGGGGGGATTTCTCCTTGTCAATTTTCTCCTTGCCATGCATGATTTTATACATCTCAGTCATGTTTTACCTTAATGTATTGTCGAAGGCTTTCACGGCCGGAATACGATGGCTGGTGTGGGTCTTCCGGGCTGTGTGGCCGTGTTCTGGAAGTTTTGTTTCCTAACGTTTTGCCAGCATCTGTGACCGGCATCTTCAGAGGCAGGAGCACAGACAGGAGCAGTTCTCTCTGTGAGAACTGACAGAACTGCTCCTGTCTGTGCTCCTGCTCTCTGAAGATGCCGGTCACAGATGCTGGCGAAATGTTAGGAAACAAAACTTTCAGAACACGGCCACACAGCCTGGAAGACCCACACCAGCCATGTTTTACCTTAGTTAGCTTTTTTCCAAGCTTTCCAAGAGATTCTAATTTTTACTCACAGGGAAATTGTTTGATCATTTTGGTTGCCGTTTGCATTTTTTCCAGGTCCCTTATGTCCTTTTTCAAAATGCTGGATGAGAGCTGGTTGTACCATGAATTTGTATAATGTTGGCAGATTTTCAATCCTTTTCCTAAATACCCCTAACATAGAATTAGCCTTTATTACAGCTGCATCATACTGAATGAACATTTTAATTAAGCTACTCAGTTTGTCTCTAAAATCTTTTTCCTGGTTACTTACAGGCACCACATCACTATGTATGTGAGATGGATGGGATTGCTTCACACATATGGTACACAATTACACACATCCTTAAATTAGACTTCATTTGTCATTGCTTGATCATTCACCAGTTTAAAGATATCTTTCTAGAGTTCTTCACAATCACCATCGTTTTTCACCATCCTGAAGAGTTTGGTATCATCTGCACATTTGGCC